TGGTATACTTCGTTCCGGTACACGTATTATGTCAGCACTCAACAACAGGTCTTAATCTTTCAAATACTTCTAAAAATCAACCTAGATATGGTTTAAATTGTCAAATTGTAGGGGACAGAGTTATGATAATGGTTCAAACATGATCGGTCTCTATAAAGGTGTTCAGTCTAGAATATTACAAAATAATCAAGAGCTTTCTGACCATGTCTCTGCTCCAGTCTAAACTTAGTTTTAAGAGATTCTCTAAGGTTCTATAAAGATCATTTTTGGATACCTTGTAGAATATATAATTTATTTTCAGCTTCTATCATAGATGTGACATGTCTAACTTCACTGCAATCTATAACACTGTAAAACATACCGAGACCAGATGGAAAGCCCGGATCAATAGTGTCGTAGCATCGTTTTCAGGTAAAAATGTATGTGCGAATTAATAAATTTTAGAGACGTCCGAAATGACCCAATTATAAAGTGAAGCATTATCATGTAATGAAGTTGGAAGTTTGAATTTTATTAAGTCTAATTATTTGGTATGAGACTACTTCAGAAGTAAATATTGTGAGTAGAATTTTCAAAATCCTAATATAATTGGATGCTTTCACTAACATGCTTAAAGGTCTATGTGGCAACTGGCTGAAAATACTGAGATATACGAGTTTGAAAATGAAATGGAAACTGCCAATGAACTAGCCAATTTCTATTGAGATTGAGCCTACACTAACTGAAGTACGTTACAGAAAAGCATAGATTGTTTTAGTTAAGAAAGTGTTGATGGAAACCTCAGAGATCCACAGTCAACATTTCGCACTCAATATTTTGAAGTTATTTGATTCAGCATTATGTCGTCAACGATTTAACAAATAATAATTTGACATCAAATTTTGATTGTTTATATGATAGTACGAGTTAAAACTATGCCTGATGACGAAATTAGAAAACATTGCCAAGATCTTCAAATAATTTTAACAGATGGCGAAGATAAAGATATAGATGCTGTTGATTTATTTGAAGAACTTCTCATTCTCGAGAGATGGTTGATAATAATATGACCGCTTTACAAACATGAAATTGGTTAAAATCATTGCGGTTCATTTTCAACCGTCAGTGCTGAAATTTATTGTAATTCCGATAGCTTCAGCAGGAGGAAGAAGCTTTCAAAATTAAAATTAATAAAATTTTCTAAGAAATAGTTGTCACAATTCAAATTAGCAGGTTTAGCATTAATCGCCATAGAAAGTGAAATCGGGGAAGTTTAAGCTTAGAAAATATTCTAGATACTTTGCAGCACAAAGCTAGAAAAATGTTTAATTTAAACGATCATTATTTAATCACCCTTATTAGCTATTTTAATTTGTATTTTATTTCTTACAGTTTTATGTTTTAATATGCTTGATTTCAGAATTTTTATTTTTAATTCAATAACCTATAGAAGTGATTCTGAGCTATGTTGTATATTATGCTCTAATAACTATTGAATGATAAAAATAAAATATTAATAACATTTTAAAAACCGTTTGTTTTAATTACACTATACTAAATATTTAATTATGTATTTACCAATGAAATATGGTAATTTTGATTTAGAACCTAACCTAACCTAGGTCGGGGCCTCGCGTTTATAATTTGCACAGGGCCTCGCAAATCATACCGCCGGCACTGCTGATCGTAAACTTCTCGAAACTGTGTTCAAGGCATTTTGTGCCTGGTCTTGACTACAGAGAAACCCGTGATCGTCGTCGTTTGTTTAACAGAGCAGTGCCGTCTTTAGTAAGTGATATATAAAAAATTATGTATCTATAACAAAACGTAAATGATAAACAGCACATAACACCTTAAATACCCTACTGTTCTATGATGACTGCTGCTTATGTTTATACATACACATCAGCATAAACAATACTTACCATTTCGGCAACTTATTGATTTAATACATTTTACTAAGAATATTGTTGTAAACAAAGAACTGCATATCATCATGTATCATTTTTATTTACGAGTATTATTTCAATTGAAATACATAATATATTATTATATATGTATGCTGTTGTCCTTAAAGATAATTTTCGTACATACAACCACATTAACTTTAAATTAATTATCAGATACACAACAATTATATTATTTCATTTTAATAACTATATATGTTACTTAGACTTTGTCATTCATTAGTTATATCTGAACTCATGGTAATACCAATATGTACAATGTTTTAATATTGACATTTTTTGCTTATATGCTTTCATTCATTGTATGTATGTATGTATTATTATTTTATATTAATAATATATAATAATGTCACACTCATTCCTGTAACTCTATTACATGTGTGCATACTTCAATTACTCTCATTAATATTATTATATAACTGTGGTATCATACTCAATTCCAATTTAAACATGACATATGTTGTTACAAAAAAAAAAGTGGCACCCACCAACTAAGCTCATACATTTTTGAATTATTTCATTGATGATGATTCATTACATTCTTATTTTATTGTTATTATAATATATATATTATATATACAAAATATAATATGTATATATTTATTACTAATATATACACACACACACACACACATATATATAACTAATAAGTTCTTAATTTAAATTTCAATAATTTTGTACATACAGATACATTAAACCTGACCTCATATGATGTTTAGGTAGTACAAAATAATCAACCGATTATAGAGATTGCGGCACCAGACGGCGAACAAGAAATGGACGTGGAAATTGTTGAAGTCCAAATTGATGAGGTCATGGTAGAGGTAGACGAAGAACCATTGGTGCAACCCCAATTAGAAGTCTTCCCAGATGACGTTGAGGTTGTAGATTTGCTGCCTGCTGATGCTGCAGCAGTATATTAATTCATAGATGTATTCGACGTTTTACCACCAGACGTCGACAATGAAGTCAGTGTATATTTCACATTAAATAAAAAACAGATGACATTGTTTTTTTACAACTTTGATGTTTAAACTACAGTTTGTACCAATTCCCCTGGGTGCTCCCAGAGCACGTGTGCCCGTAAGAGACCGTCCGGCTGGCATTCAACACCAACTTCCCGAACAGCACAACATAGGACCATTGGATGCCGTCTACGATCACTGTGGTGGCCGTCATTTCCACTGTGAGAAGATTGGAAGGTCTCATTTTTCAACGTGTTGCAATAATGGTCAAATGGCTATAACGGGTGACCGTGTGTTGGGTCAACCTCCAGAGTTATTAATTCGTTTGTTAATAGATGATTCACAGGTAGCCAGGCACTTTAGAAAAGAAATCAGACGATACAACAACACTTTGGCGTTTGCTGCGTTTTCCACTGACCTCAACCCAAGACGTTTGCCAGGTCGGGGACCAAAAGTGTTCACTGTTCATGGGCAAGTGTATCGCAGGATTAGTAACGACATTGTCAGAAATGAAATGATGCGACCGAGTTACTGTGAGCTGTACTTTATCGAATCTGGGGAAGCCAACCGGATTCGAATGGCACAACAGCCACGCCAACACTCGCTATTGGAGAACTTGATTACAGACTTAGACAATCTGTTACGGCAAATCAATCCATTTGCAGCGGCTTTCGAGTAATATATTTAAATATACATAAATGTGTATATGTATATTATGCATATATTTAGCAAATACATATTATTATTACTTTACACTTATAAACAAACCCATTATATTGAAAATGATTAACTCTATTACCAACACCTATTATATTATGTTATGTATATATAAACATAACATATCTTTTTGTTGTACATAACAAACAACAATTATTACATATCATAAATTATTGTTGACACTTAAGTGCACTGTAGATTTGCTGTACCCGTTATTGTTACCATACTTTATATAGTACTTTTAGTTATTTCTTTTTGTCAACTTGAATAATATTGTTATAATATTTTATTGATTACACATTCACATTCAATACCACTCACTAACTACATTAACTTAATTTCATTAATATTCCAGACTATTGTGTTGCAATACTTATAATTATTATGTTGTTATATCCTTTATTCTTATACCAATGTTCATAGTTTACATCTTATTCACTACCCACTCATTAAGGAACGCATTTTGAGGATATGATTTACCATCTGGAATTTTATAATACCAATACACTGTCATATTCTTATTTTTCTTATATATATATATACACCTATTACACCTACATACATTATGGACATCAACACTAAACTGTGTGCATTGTTTCAAACGAGACTTAAACCTAATTACCTCTATGACATTTTTTATTTATTTTTATTACAGTATTATATTATATTTTTTTATTACACTGAGCATCACATATCTTATGCGTATTGCTTACAATAATAGTAGACTTCCGAATAAGACTAAACTGCTACACTTACGGTTTAATTTTATTTACACGCAGATAACTGTAATATCATTATTTTGTTAACAGGACCATGCGACAGGTATGGCAGAGGGAACAAGACGCTGCTGCTGCTGATCACACGGTGCAACCGAGGAGAGTGACAATGCACATCATCGCCGACCCAAATAATGACCCTCGGCGATACAATCAACCGGCTGGTGATGCAAATGAAGTAGCAGTCGTATTCGTTGGTGACGACGGTCTACCACCAAAGAACCTTGATCTGGTCATTTATGACACGAACCCAGTCAACCCACAACATCGGATGCAAAGCATATCAGTAGGCTCACCTCATGCGGATCCTATGCTGTATCCACTGTTCTTCCTGTATGGAGAATCCGGTTGGCACTACAACCTGCTACAAGAAGGCAACCGTCGTAATGCTGTTCGCGTTCGGAACACCATCAGGGAGTTTGTGTGTTACCGCTTGGCCATTCGATATACAGGAAACAATGGAAATGGGAATGACGGCCAAACATTAAGTTTATTGCATGCCGGTGGTTTTTTGTTACAGCAGTACGTGTGTGATCAGTACGTTCGGATGGAAGCGAATAATTTACGCTACACTAGAGACAATCAAAGGACGCTGTTTGCCGAAGCGTATCAGGGGCTTGTGGACCACATAAACCAACAACTTCATGTAGATGAAATCGATCCTGTTGGTCGTAGGATGATTTTGCCATCAACGTTTGTAGGCGGCCCCCGTTACATGAAACAATGTTACCATGACGCGATGGCCATTGTGCGTAAGTACGGTAAACCTGACCTGTTCATAACGTTCACATGTAACCCTAAGTGGCCAGAGATTGTTGACAACATTCCAAATTGGTTGAAAGCTAACGACAGGCCAGATTTGGTGGCAAGGGTGTTCCATGCAAAACTTAAGGAGCTAATGCGTGATATAACAGTTACTAAGGTGTTTGGTAATGTTGATGCTTACGTTTATACTATTGAGTTTCAGAAACGAGGTCTTCCGCACGCCCACATACTCATTATCTTGCAAGAAGACAGTAAGTTGCATACTGCCGACGACGTTGACGATGTGGTATGTGCCTGCTTACCAGACCCGGCAACTGACAGACGCCTATTCAACAGTGTGACATCACACATGATTCATGGACCGTGTGGACAGCTTAACCATAACAGTCCGTGTATGGTGGACAACAGTTGCTCAAAAAACTACCCAAAAGAGTACAGCGAAGAGACTTTGTACATTTCCGACAGCGGTTACCCGACTTACCGCAGACCAAATAACGGACTTGAGGCTAACGTCAGAGGTCACCGAGTAGGAAATGAGTTTGTTGTGCCATACAACCCTTACTTGCTGATCAAGTATGATGCGCACATCAACGTTGAGGTATGCTCTACAGTGAAGAGCGTAATGTATCTATACAAATATGTGTACAAGGGACATGACGCGGCTACCGTGGAAGTTTGGAATGGAAATGAAATAGAAAAGTGAGTTGTTCAGTTAATTTTTTTTTTTTTTTACATACCACTTATACAATATTTTTACTTTTAAGACTATGCCAATATATTTAATTACAATTGTATCAACACTGACATTTAAACTTATCATAAACTGCTACAACTTCGTTCGTAATGATTATACTTCATTTAATCGATTGATATATAGATACACAAAAATATAGTACAAATGCAATTCATTAAAAATATATATTGTTATTTGATAACTTGAGATTATCGAGCACAAACACCTAACGATTCATACTGTACATTACAGCTTATATTATGTGGATGGATTATATTGTAAAATTTATTATAAGTTGTATTATAAGAATCCACAACAATACACATTACTTTTTTTCTATTAAATTTTCACATGTGTTTAAAATAAATCTTAATTAAATTTCTTAAGTCATATTTTATTATGTATTAATCTCTTTTTTTCTTTTACAAAATGTATAAGGAGATATTATAGGGCCTTAATATTGTACATCACTTTGAAATAATATAATCTTAATAAAGAACACCACTACATACAATATTTATTGCTAAATTAATAACATTGCACACCATGTCATATACATCCATATATATACTGTATAGTTATTTTATTTTAGTATTTTTTTTTTAGATTTATAAACAACACACATTATGTTCTATTTATTTTGACTTGAATTTAACAAATAACCTTTTTTTTATAATTTTCAATCATAAAATATATTGTGAATACATGTTGATTTCAGTTACATAAATTCACGGTACGTCAGTCCACCAGAAGCGGTTTGGAGGTTGTTTTTGTATGAAATGCATAACAAGAGTCATACGATCGTCAGACTTCCAGTACACTTAGAAGATTATCACAACGTGTACTTTGCCCCAAATCAGGCACTGGAAAGGGCACAAAATGCTGCTCTAGCTCGAACAAAACACACGGCCTTCTTTGCGCTTAACGCGACAGACGTCGAGGCCAGACAGTACCTGTACCAAGAGATACCGATACATTACACTTGGAACGCAACGCGAAGAACATGGTTACGACGGCGAATACAGATGACGTACGAGACGCTGGCTCGAATGTACGTCGTCAACCCACTTGATCGAGAACGTTTTCACTTGCGACTACTACTTCTACATAAGAGAGGCCCGCAGTCATACCATGATGTGAGGACAGTAGACGGAGTGCAGCATCCAACCTACGCGGCTGCAGCAGTCGCGATGGGACTGTTGGAAGACGACAGAGCTTTGCTGGCATGCATGGCTGAATCGGCAACGTTGGACCCTCCATCTCAGCTTCGTTACCTGTTCGTTACGATGCTATTGTTTTGTGAAACCGCAAACCCGTTGACGTTGTACCAAACTCACGAAGCACACATGATGGAGGACTTCAATCAGCGGGTGCGTGACGTAGACCGCGCGAGGGCGGCATGTCTAGACGCTATCGATCGATTACTTCGGGGTCACGGGAAATCACTCACGGACTACGGTTTGCCTCTGCCGGACGTCGCACTGTTGGAAGAGGATCCGGATGACGGCATGTTTGGTCAAATAGACGCGGCTATACGCTGGGCTCAACAATTAGACAACTTAAACGACGAACAACGGACAGTGTTTGAACGTGTGATGGCGGCCGTAGACGACAACAGAAACGTCTCAAAACTTTTCTACGTCGACGGACCTGGAGGAACTGGGAAAACGACGCTTTACGGATGCCTGATATGGTCGCTTCGCAGCCAAGGGCGTTCCGTGTTGTCCGTGGCATTCACAGGAATCGCAGCGTCGCTCATTGACGGCGGCATGACTGTGCACTCGACGTTCGGATTGCCGTTCGGCACGCTCACGGACGATTCGACGTCGTCCATCACCATGCAGTCGTCACGCGCTCAGAGGATACGCGACGCAGCACTCATCGTCTGGGACGAAGCGCCTATGTCTCCGGGACTACAACTCACGGTGGTCAATCGGTTGCTCAAGGACGTCATGGGATCGGAGTTACCGTTTGGCGGTAAACCAGTCCTGTCAGTGGCGCCGAACTACTTTTTAGTAGGTGGTGCAAACACAAATTTTAACCACCCACCCACCACTCCCTAGACACACACAAAGATAGAAAATTAGGTTCAAAGTCAACATTTTCAATAAAACTTTAATAAAATATTGTTTTATACATAAATCGATACATCAATGATCTATCTATATAATACATGTATATATACTATATAGGTATACAATTATTACATTTTAAGTTTCAACCAATAAGTTTTTTGCTTAGTACTGTACTGCATTTTGCAAATATATCAACCACTTCATCATTATCTATGGGCACATCGGACTCACATGATATTATTAATAATGACTCAAGACAATCTTGTTTCATAGTGCTCCTTAACCGATTTTTGATAATTTTTAATTTAGAAAAAGTTCTTTCAGTGGTTACACTACATACTGGCAATGTACAAGCAATCCGAAGGGCCATAAACAATGTAGGGAATACACTATGAAGTCCAGCTGAATAGCATATTTGTAGTAATGTTAATGAGCTTCCTGTATTCATAATATCTTTTTGTGTTTGATCATTGTTTAATTCTTCATCTGATGTTAAAATCTCCACATTACTTTCAATGTCAGAAGTGTTAATATTGGAAGTAAATGGATAAATATTTTTTGGTAGTTTAGTTACTTTTTCAAAGTCAGAATACAAATTTGCAAACTGAATATATTCATTACACAACTCATTCCGATCTATAAACTGTTGATACAAATTACAAAATGTACAGAACACATCTGCCGGTAGTTTTCCGTTTTTAACTTGATTTAAACGATTTTTTGAGAAGAATGATATATCCCTTAAAGATTTTGTGCAGTTGAGTGAAATCGGTTTTCTATAGCCATTATTGCTGCATCAAGTGTGCCAAAATAAGTATCAATTTTAAATTTCAGCTTAGGATCTACTACTGGTTCATCACTAGAATTTTCATCGAATTGTTTTTTTTTAGTTCTACTTCTATTTACTACTAATTGAGTGAATTCAAATTCATCAGCACGATCACTCATAAAGCAATTGGATTCTGTGAATATTTCTTCAAATATGTTTTCACATCTTATTTGTTTTAATGAAGTGTGGACATTTTTTATATTATTTATGGCACTCAGTAAATCGATATCAATAGCCTGAAGCATACGAGTAAGCGGATCAATTATATTAAATATTTTTTTAAAACATAATGCAGTAAGTATAAATCGATGAGATAATAAAAAATCAATTAAACCTGATGCTTTAGCTCCAACCTTAAAGTCTAGTCTACTTTCTTCACTTACTATATACTCCAATGTCTCAATTACAGCATTGTATGTAAGTAAAACATTATTTAGAGCTGAGGAATATGACATCCACCTCGTGGTTTCAACTCGCTTTAAACGGTGAACATTCTGATTGGGATAATGTTTTTTTTGTGATTTTTTAAAAAAAGCAATTCTTTTCTTACTAGATGATATAAAACTGTACAAAAATTCTAAGTTTCCAAATGTGTCAACTGCATTTGAAGAAGTACTCGCCATTTGTATAACTACAAGGTTTAATCTATGGGAATAGCACCAGATGTAAATGGCAGAAGGATTTTGCTGAAGAACCAATGCTTGTAGACCTTCGTACTCACCTCGCATGTTACTGGCACCATCATAACTCTGACCAATTAAGTGTTGTTTCCAGTTTAATTCTCTTTCATTACAAATATCTTTAAAGATTTCAAACAATCTTTGACCAGTAGTAAGAGAAGATTCTTTTAATGCAATCAGCCGTTCTTGAATTTCTGGGATTTTATTAGAAAAACTAACATACCGTACAACAAAAGCTAATTGCTCTCTTTTAGATGAGTCGAATGTTGTATCAATAGAGACACTAAAATACTTAGTATCAATAATTTCTTTTTTAATAGATTTGTTGATAATAGTTGAAACAGAATCAATTAATTGATTTTGCCGTTGCCAGGATAAAAAGTTTGTTTCATTTCGACCGGTTGATTGTAATCTTTCTAAATAAATAGCCAAAGATGGTGACCATTTACTTAATAGAATGACTAAATCTTTAAAATTACCACGAATATTTTCATTGAAGCCTTCTCTATGCCCACGGAATGCTAAGGAATGTCTGCCAAGATACAGTGTAACCTCTATAAGTTGATGAACTATTTCTCTGTTAAATTCTACTTGCATTTTTCTTTTTTCAATAAGTGCTGGTAACACAGGCATGGATAACAATTTCATTTTGATAGTAACAGTTGCGTTGATGTGTGGAGTAGTCTTCTCATGTATACTAATATCTTTAGGTCTTTGCCACGCATGAAAGCCATCGTACGTCCAAGCTTTCTGTGAATTCTTACCAAAAAACATACAGTATATACAAAAAACTCTATCAAATAAAATGGAATAACTCAACCAATCTCTATTGAAACGTTCTCCGTTGGTAAATTCATTCCAGTAAAATTTCGACAAAAAACGTCGACCATTTGACTTAGGAAAATTTGTGTCGATTTCTGTAGGTTGACATGGGCCTCTTTGAATAATATTTATTTTCTCTTCGGGCGATAATTTCAAATTTCGAAGAATCCCCGGATCAATAGATAAATGTTCAGCACGTATTTCAAGGTCAATACAGTTTTGAAGTAAATTGCTTGGTACTAAAAAATAAAATCCAAAAAATAAAATAAATTCTATACCCAGCCAAGATATTATTTAATTATGTAGATAAAATAACACAAATTGAAGTTTAAGATAAACATGCATTATGAATTATGATAAGTATTGTTAATTTCTATATTATATAGACAATTATTAATAAAATTAAGTGCTATACAAATAAACAAAAATAATTTACCAATAGATGAAGTTTGAGCTGTTGATGCAGGCAAACGTTCAAAATTCTTTAATTTATCCGTAAAGACAGTCTCATTTTCCTCGACATTTGTACCTAAGTCCTCTCCTTAAAATTTAAATTATATAAATTAAATAGGTAAAAACTAAAATGATAAATTCTATGTGGACCTGACTATTTAGGTACAATTCAAAATTGATAGTTTAATTTGGTATTGTGATGTTTTGATGTTTTTAATTTTATTAATATTGTCTAATTAAATTTAAAAAAAAAAATAATAATTTAAAATTAAATTATTTGATTTCTTTGATTTCTGGTGACAAAAAAGACATTTTAGCAAAAATTGCAGGATCATTTTTAATTATATCCATATCCATATCATCTAAAATAAAAATTGATCATCAAAAAATTTTAGGTAAGTTAATAGTTTTTTGGGAAAATATAAATTCAATTGGGCTTTGCTATCTAGCAAATACAATTAAGTATCAATTAAAAAAAAAAAAAACAATATACATAATATGATGAACATCATAAAAAGGGTTAGTAATACTAGCTGACAGTTGCATAATGCATATACCAATAATCTATTATAAAACTAATAATATGCGAAGATACAAAACATTAAATATTCAAAATATATAAATAGGTACTTTAAAAAAAAGGAATAAAATAAGTAGGTATATACCTTTATTTTGCAAACATGAGTTTATCTCAGTGTCTTTTTGAAATTCACATTCAACCAAAGATTCTTTATTGACTGGTAGACTGTGGTATTCGTTTAAATCATTGTTCACATCAGCAAGAGCTGGAAATATGTACTAAATTAAAGCTAGTTGTATAATGTATATCCAATAATACAATTGATCATAAAAACACTATGTGTACCTACCTATCATTTGTTAATGTATAAAAATAAAAATGTATTATACATTTATACAAGTTACGAGACATACTTTTAGTTTGTAAATATGAATTAAATATAGTATATTTTTGAAAATAATTTTCATCAGAACATTCTTTACCAACATATTCTTTTTTCATTTAGGTATATTGCCTATTTATCTTTAAATACTAGATAGTCTAAATATTCCAAATTAATAGTACCTAATGGGATAAATTAATGTAATAAAAAAATAGATATGTTATAGTACAATAAGTAGTATGAGATATAATATATAGTATATAATTAACTAATAACTAGCCATATTAATGTAATAACAATTTAAAAGATTTATATTTATTAATTAATAAAATTAAACTATAATTATATAAAATTATTTATTCTATATCTGTGTTTTTAACTCTTTAACTTAAAACAAAATAAAACATTTAAATAAATTAAATAGGTACTACTATTTTACAACAGTAAAAGAACAATTTTGGGGCTCCGTACAAGTGTCCGCTACAGGCCGGAGCGTTTGCCCGATCCGGGGCGACGGAAACGTCGTTCCACGGCGAAGGCCTAGGTTTGCCCGTGGCGCGGAGTCACCACCGGGCGGACGGTTTGCCGTCCCTCGGGAGAGCTACCGCTGGTGTTGCCCTCGGAATCGTGGGTAACCGCGACGATAATCATTCGACGGTGCCGTCGCCTGACCTGCTGTGAGGGTCCTGGCGAGCCGTCCCCGGGAGGCGATGGCCCGAGTCGCGCCTAGGCGCGGCCGGGTGGACCGACACTAGGGAATTTGTGGTTTCGATGCGGGCGCTGGTGGAAAGGCGCCCGTACCGACGGATCGGGGCTTCCTCGTAGCGGTAGATGTAAACGGCGTCGCCCCCGGGCGGCGACGGCTAACACCGATCCAACTCCAACTGTCGGCCCCACCCAGAGAGGTGGCGGCTATGCGTCCGCAGCGGTGGCTGCTGACGGTAAACTAATGGTATATATGCTAGTCTCAATGGCAGCGGGCTCTGGTGTCAGCTGGGGCCCGCTCGCCGGGGCGGAATTTGACCGTGGTAGACATGGAA